ACCCTACATGCTACCTCCCCCCTTTTTTCTTCTTCTTTGCTATTTGGAGTAGCTATAAATAGCTCCAGGCAGACCAAGAAAAAATGTGGATTGTAACTGGGGTTAATAGGCAGAAAATGGAGCTCAGCTGTCTTTACCCCCTACCAGGGCTCTAGAGCCAAGCTGTGATTTAGAAGGGGAAGGGAAGATGCCAGGCAAGTGCCCTCAAAGGCACCAACACTATGGAAAAGAAACTTTTCAGATATGACTTAAGTGAGAAAGTTGCCTTCGTTGCTTCCCTGCTCTTTTCCTTCCACCCAGAACCTTTAAGGCTGCAATTGTGTAACACTTGTGTGCCTTCAAGCCATTTCTTATGATGACACACAGGGTTTTATTGGCAAGATTTGTTCTGAGGGGGCTTGCCAGTGTGCTTCCTTCTGAGGCAGAGAGTATGTGAGTTGCCCAAGGTCACCCAGTGGGTTTTATGGCCAAGCTGGGAATTGAACCTTGGCCTCCAGAGGCATAGTCCAATACTCAAACCACTATGTCACATTGTCACCACGTACTTGGGAGTAAACCAGTGAGTCAGCAAGATACATGTTTTGCAGCAAAAAGGAGTCTGCAGCCCTTCGAATGTGTTTGGGTTCCATCTCTCAAATACCTCAGACTGGCATCATCATGAGTTGGGGATGATAGGAGCTACAGTCCACCCCCAATAGCCTAGGATTGGACTACCAGAGAATGCCTCCAGCATTGTCCAGTAGTCAAACTAAATAGTTATAGTGCTGTTGGCAACTTTGCCACTTTGGCAACCATGGATCCATCCTGTGGAATCTAGGGGTTCGTAATCTGTTGAGCCATTAGAGCTCTCTGCCAAGAATTCGGAATTCCCCTCCCTCAATTGCCAATCCCAGGATTCCCTAAATTGGAACATGCAGTCAAAGTAGAATAATAAAGTTATAACTGTGTACTGTGAATGTGCCCTTTGTCAGGGAGACAGTGTATCTGCTCCAGGTTGTGCTCCAGACTTTAAAAAAAACTATCCAAGATGCTGACCCTATTTGGGGATTGGGCTAGTGTCTCTACAGTCTGGAATAAAACCCAGACCAGATTCAGTGGACTCCAAACAGGAAAGCCACTGGCCTCAAGCCAAGATAGCTCCCCTAACTCTCCTGATTTGTCAGGGTCAATCCTGATGAATCCTCTGTTGTCCCTACGTTTTCAACTGCTTTTAAAATGTCTCAGTTTCTTTCTCCTCCCCCTTTTCTCCTTTCCTATATGCTCACTTGTTTTGCAGAATAAGTCCCGAACTGCAAAGATTTTTGTCAGTCTAGGATTCTTCTCATCAGGATTTTTCAATACTTGGAAAACATCTTTTTAAATCATTTTGGGGAGAACATTTGAAAATATTCTTTCCCTCCTTATTGCAATGAGGACTTTTTTAAACTCACAAGGAGAAACTGCATAGCAAACATGACATATTTGGCTGTCTCTTTGATAATCACTTGGCTTTCACTCAGGTGAAACCACTCTCAGCCCCACTAGGCCTCAGCCATCATTACTAATGGGCCCTGCCCTCTGGAAGCACCTCTGTATTCATTACAGGAGAGCCAGCATGGTGTAGTAGTTCAAGTGTTGGACTACGAATCTGGAGATCGGGGTTTGATTCCCTGCTCGGCCATGGAAATCTACTGGGCGACTTTGCACAAGTAACACACTCCTAGCCCCATAAAACCCCATGATAGAGTCAACATACACTGGAAGCAACTTAAAGTCACACAACAACCACCATCACAACATCTGTTCCTTTGGACGTTTTCACACTTGGGGTCTCAAAGC